AATAAATCATCAGACAGCTAGTTGTTATAAGAGTCTTTCAAAGGCATTTAAGTGCTTGTAATCACTAAACAGAGCATTCCTATAGATTAAATGTGTTGTAAACTACACATGAAAGCAATGTCTTTTTTATTATCTGTAACTCTAATGGAAAGAAAATGTTAATTTAGGGTAATGAAATAGGCCTCCAAGTATGATGGGTGAATAGACCATTAGGTTAATTAAAATGAGGATATGTATCACTGCTGTGGTGGAACTACCATTGTGGAGGAGACAGATTTATTTAGTGCTTGAATAGTAAAATTCACAGTGTGTCACTCCCAGCCTAGATTTACTACAGAAAGAACAAGATTAATGACAAGGTAATTTAGTTTTATTTCATTTACTTTTACCTGTCACATTACTTGTCATTCTAGGGAGCCTGCCAGTTAAAGGTGAAAATTTATCCAATCTTTAAGAAATCAGTTAAGTGTAAATTTTGCTTTGCTATCTGTCCATTATCCCAGGTGAATTAACTACAAAATCAAGATTAAATAATAGCAGAGTATGCAGGTTTTATAATACAACATTACCAAAGTGAGCAATTAAAATTTATTGATTTGTGAAAGTGCAATTGAAGTGACCAAGAAAACTTTTTAGTTATTAGTTCTTTTCTGTGTCTGATATTCACAAACCTGTTGGAAACTAAGTTTGTATAGTTTGTTATCCACTTTGCCAATTTACTACTTGAATTTACTGAAGTGTTCAGTGCCTCACTACCAAATGTATTTGTAAAATGTTTTTTTTGGTAGCAGTGAAGACTGCATCCAGGGCCCAGTACATGCTAAGTGAGTGCTGTACCACTGAGTAATACTCCTGCCTACAAAAGATTTTTTTAGTGCTCTTTCTTTCCTATGAAAAATCTTAGCATAGTGCAAACCATGAAGTAGCTTTTCAGTAAATGCCTTCTATTTTGACTAAAAAGGACTGGCATGCATTTAAACAGATATTAAGTTCAGTGTGCTCTTGAGCTATTCAGTTTTCCCCAGCATATGCCTAACATAATGTATTAATTTCTATTCAGGTCTTCGATCCAGAACTATAACATCTGGCCTAATAGTCAACCAACCTAATCATCTCTGTTAGTTCTTTATCTGCCATCTGAAGTATGAGTGCATACACTTAGTAATTTATAAAGCAAATGATAATAAACCTAATGATTTATGTGATCACTCAGTCAACCTTTTATTGAATTCCAATTCTGAGCCTGGTATTGTAGTGCGTACTTTCATTTGCATATGGCTTTCCTTGGGAGGTTGTATAGGATTAGTGTATATTCAGAAAAGAATCAGTTTCTCTGAGTGTTATAAATTAGAAAACCTTCTGGAGGGTGAGATTCTCTCTCTTGTTTTGTCTTGTTTATTCTGGGAAAGTATTATTCTTGATGATAGTAGCACATTTTTAATGAATTTATGTGTTTTATGTATTTAATATTTTTGATATGTGAACATTAAATATGATATAGTAAAATTTAATGCTTATTAGGAAATGATCTTTTCTCTATAATTTGATTCACTGTAGAATTTTTTCTGAATAATTGATTTAGAACATTTAGCAGGTCTCATTTTGTCTCACTTCCTCTATGTAAGATTCATTTAATCTTATTAAAGAAGAAGAAATTCAGACTGAACCAGGCCAGAAAGCTGTAATAATAAAGGCAAGCAGCCCTAGGATTTGGAAACTCATCATGTACTTGTGATCAACCTTTCCTGATACATGTTTCTTTCTTTATGCTTGCTCTTTTATTTTCTACCTGCATGCTGCCTTCTTTATCTTTTTACTTACTCTCTCTCTGTCTGTTTTCTGTCTCGTTGATTCTTTGTACTCATAACTTAGTTTTGACTCATCATAAAGAGCATTACATTCAGCATTGGCAGTGGTCATCCATTGCTCACTGCACAGTTTTTGCCCTTAGTTCACATTTTTCAGGGAATGAATCTAATTGATTTGTGTGTTGACCAAAGTAAGCTAATTTATGCTGAACTAACAAGTGACTCACATATTTCTCATTCATGTTACCTGTTTATCATTGATTGGTTTGGGGCTCTGTTTCAGGCTTCATTTGAGAACCCTGACTGCAGTCATTGTTTGAAGCATTGCAGGTGGTGGGGGAGAACTGTCAAAACAGCTTCCACCCAGAAATGGCATGCTTTATTGACCCAAACAAGTTATTTATCTACACATGATAAAAGGTAAGGCAGTGCTGTCCTTCCATGGGCCCTGGAAGAGAACTACAGTTATTTGGTGGACAACATTATCGACACTGTATTTTATCCATACGTGGAATATACTTTCTCTTCATAGGAGACAATTCGCAGATCTTTTAGGAGGAATTACATATCTACACTCTTGGCCAGGTAACTTCTGGTAACTTTTAGTAGGCAGAGTGTACTTTCCCCTCAGTGTAAATCTTGACCATGGGGCTTGCTTTGGCTAGTGGGATGTGGATAGGTGTGACGTGTGACAGCTGTGAGTAGGACCTTGGCAGGTAGTTGGTGTGCTTTGACTGGGGTTGATGCACTCTTTTGCCCACTGCCCAGAGAAATCATTCCTAGGCAGTGACTGCTGTGTAAGCTTGGATCCTGTGCTAGAAGACAGGTCGTGTAGATGTATAGCCCTAAGCAAGCTCTTCTCAGCCCTTTCATTTACTGTGAACAGGAAATATCTGGTGTGTTCACTCCCTGAGATTTGGGAGTTGTTTGTTACTGTGACAGCAAAAGCTGACTGGGTATACAGTAGGCTTTGGAGTAACACAACCTGGGCTTGAGTGTTAATTGTGCTAGTTTGTGATTTGGGGTAAGTTATTGAATGTCTCTGAGCCTGGGTTTCTTCATGTGTAAAATGAAGACAGTAATGCCTGCCTCACAGTTGTGATATGAAAACTAAATTGGATGACTTCCATAAGATGCTTGGGATGGCACTTAGCATGAGAGGAGTAACAGGAATTACTTCCTTCCCATTACTTTCTACCTTGCCATCCTCGTTAGTTATTCAAGTGTGCATTTACTTGGTAAAAATCCTATTGAAAGGAATTGTGACATGAGGAATTGGATAAAATGATCTTCTGAGGTGAACCTTTTAAAGCTCAGTTTAAGAATTTCCTTCCAAAAAAAGAATCCAAATGCTCTTATAAGTGATCTTGGTAGGTTCCTGAACAGTGATAAGTCAACCAGATTTCTGACTGAGCTAAACAGCCCCACTACAACATACCTACCAAGGTTTTACCCCTTCTAAGAGGAAGACCTCTACCAATTGAATAGTTAGGTTTCATAAGAGCCCCTCTGTCACCACCGATAGTCTCTTCTACGGAGGTTGACCTATGGCTCTGAAACCACGAGCAATTAATGTAGCAGCCGGTCAGCGACATGTAATATTTCCTTGCTCAAGGTGATAAGACACTGGTGGAGAGATCATATGCCTGTTTAACTTATAGTGGTAATGGAGAGATGATAGAAAGCAAACATAATGCTACCATAAGTATGTGTGTTCACTGCTGTTAGAAAACGTGAGACGATGGTCCAGTTCACAAATAAGGAACGAAGGGGAATATACAGGAGGCCTGGAGGTGTCGTTCAGTGTACAGCACATGCTAGAGCCTTGATTTCAGCTCCCAGCCCCGCAAAAGAAAAAAATCCTGAAAAAGTACATCAAGAGTGTATATTTAGAGGATTTAGGGTAGTAAAGGATGAAAACTTAGCCACAGTAAGGAGAAAACTGAGAGGAACAAGGAGCAATTAAAGCTCAGCTTGGCAGTGGGGGCCAATCAAGAGTCACACCGTGTGGTAGCTCTAAAGTGTGTCTCAGCATTCTTTGCTACTAGAGCCCATTTACCCGAGTCCTTTGCATTTAATGAACATGTGGCCGAAGTGATGGCAGGTGACTTCCAAGATGAGGTTATGGTAGATGTTGTAGTACCGGCCTTGCCCTTGCTCTTGGATTGCCCGTGTGAGAACCACCAGCGTGTTGTCAGGACACTAGACTGTCCTACCTAACCAGATATCTTGGACACAGTTTCGGCACCCCATGCCCCATTCAAGTTCTCAAAACAGTGGCGGCCTCTGTGTCCCCACCCCCTTGCAGGTAACAGAAGGAAGATCTCGAGTCAGAACCACCAAGCTAAGGTGCCTCAGAAACCATGTGAGAGGCCATGGGTATAGTGTAGAGCACTGCACTGCAGGAGATTAGCATTGCACTGCAGGAGATTAGCATTGCTAAGTGAAAGCCTCAGTGTTCCAGACTATCTTTTAGCAGTGCCAGTAGATCCTCTTTTTACCTCCACTTCTCTTCCCTCCTCCCTTTCTTCCCTCCGCTCCTGCTCTTCTCTCCCCTCTCTTCTGTTCATCTCCCTGCCTCCTCTTTTTGTAGTATGGGGGATTGAAGCCAAGGGCTTTTTACTACTGAGTTACATCCCTAGCCCTTTTAATTAAAAAAAAATTTTTTTTTAGACAAAGTTTCGCTAAGTTGCTTAGGCTGGGCTGTAGCTTGTGATCCTCCTGCCTCAGTCTCCTGAGTAGTTGACCATTACACGCATGATTACTTTTTTACTATTGATGTTTTTTCTTTCAATTTTTCTATCCCTTTTATTTTCCTCCTATTTCCTGAGCATATACTTAAAACAGGTTGTATCAGTCAAGCTGCTGTAGAGAAACAGAACCAATAGGAAGTGTATGTGGGGACAGAGGTTTTCAGGTATTGGCTTTTGTGATTGGGGATGTGGTTAGCGTGAAATCTGTAGGGCCATCTGGAAACTCAGGTAAGAATTGAAGTCTCTGTCTTGAGTCTTGGATTTGCTGGGAAGGCAGCATTTCGTACTGCAGCCTTAGGCAGAGTTCCTTCTTCCCCAGGAAACTTGTTTCTGATTGGAAGAGGCCCAGCTGCATAATCAGGGGAACTGTCCTTTACTTAGAGTCAACTGAGTATAAATGCTCAAAAAGTCTACAGCATACTGTCACAGCAGTCCTTACATTAGTTTGTGTTTAATCAAATAATGGGCACCATTGCATAGCCACGCTGATGTGTGAAACCAGTCACTCCACAGAGGAGGAACGCTTTCTTGCTACAGAGGAGGGGGTCAGGCACAGAGACCCAGAGGGCCCCTTCCCGTTTGTACGGTCCTGACAGTGGCAGCAGGCTGTTCTCTGGTCTTCCCCAGTATATCTGATGTCATGTGACGGGAAGGAACATAGAAACCAGTGTGGATGGCTTTGTCGGGGCCTCTGGACTGTCCAGGAGCTGTGCTTTCTCAAATCTGAAAGAAAAGTAGTGCATTTTGTTTATAATTAGAACTCCATGTGGCTTCCTAGCTGTCAGGAGGAGGCTGGGGCTAGAGAAAATTTTCACTGCTGGCCAGTTGCTCAGCAGAAAAGTGAGGCTCCTGCTTAGTTTGTTGGAGTGCTTAACTTAGCGATAAATGTTGGCAGGCTTCTGTATGGCTTTTCTAGGGATTTAGGAGTATTCCCGAGTCTCAGAAGCTGCTCTCTATAGCACTGAACAGTCTGCATTTTCGCAGTGGCAGTACTTCCGAACACCATCAAGAGGATAGAGCTGTCTAATGCTCATTAAGTTCTGTCTTCTTTTAGCAGGTTAAATATGATGATATCTACTGGATTTTAAATCTTTGCCATTCTGAATAGCATCTTTTAAGAGTTTACTAATTTGAGTCTTTTCACAGGCCAGGAGTTTGGCTATTACCCTGATTTTACTTTTTTTTTTAATGCCTTTAAATTGAACTTTAAGGTTGACTTCTAGGCATAACTTCTGAAATCTCTCTGTGGGGTTTCATTTAATGCAAAAGTAATATTATTAATTTTATAAGACTGCTTCTAAGCTGTTTTTCCGCGCTCTTAGATTTTCCTTATGAAAAATGAAGGACTCTAACCAAGTTTTATTGGGGTAAGATCAATTTTACGAAGCCTGACGACTTCTTACTCTGAATTTTACCTGAGCAATGTTTCAGTTTAACTGAATGGCTCATAATATTGAGTGACTCTCCCGTCAGCTCCTTTATTGATTAATGACACAGATAAGAAAGATGTACCTTGTTGCAGAGGGATTAGAGTCAAGGAAACTAGATGTCCTTCATCTCATCTGAAGACAGCGGAAAGTCTATATTTAAGTACAACATGATCCATGAAAGAGAAGGGAAAGTCAGGGTGTAGTTAAGCAATGCAGAAAGCACAGGAGAGGAGGAGGGATAGGGAAAGGAAAGCTCATACAGGGCTGCAGTTTTGGAACCAGCTTGGGGGATACATAAAACCTTGGTTAGTACGCGGCTTTGCCGACACAGTAGGAAGATGAGCACTGTTACTGATTGTCTTGTGTAGCTGTCAGAGAAGACTGCGGCTCCCTGCATCTGCCCTCACATGTCCCACTTATTGAGACAGAGAAATCTTGTAGTTCGGGACTGTCAAGGGCACTGCAATTAGTACTAAATCATTCTTGCTCAGACAAGGTCTGGCAACAGACGCTTCTGGCAGATGTGTAAAGAGGTTTCCGGTGTTTCTGAGTGTCTGAATGGTGTAGCAGAGCTCTCAGTAGGTTGCCTAGATTAATAGTGAATTTAGTGTAATCAGCTTTTTAAAAAGTAATTTTCTTGGTACATTTTAGATGTACAAAATGATCACATTCATCATAGGGAATTTGTACCTGTACATGATAGATCTTGATTCTTCTTTTTTCCCATCACCCTCCCTCCCTTTCACCCCATCTTCTCGTTATTTGTGAAAGCTTTGTTTCCATTTTTTCCCCTTCATAATCAGGTTTTAGAAGAGCAGAAACACTAGAAATTAAGATGGGCTATTATTTTTTGCTAATCATAATCAGCTTTGGTAATTTTGAGGGTATATACACTTTTAATATGCTAACAGGGAATTCATGTTTCTTCATGAAATTCCCAAAAGAACTTTGAAGTATAAAAATGTCAGGATGTGCAAATGTGTACATAAACATGTTGGTATACTTAGGATGCAGCCAGAGCCCACCGTTCTCTCTTCACTGAATTGAATTAGCTAATTCTGGAGTGGCACATAGATGATAGTAATGGAACCATTTTGAAAGAATGGTAGATGCAGAATAAGAAAAGTTACTGACATAGGGGAAATATAACTCCTGATCTGCTAGACATCAAATGTGCTGAGTTGGTGGTCCCATAACACCAGGGAATGACGTAATGAACCGAAGGAAGAAGTTAGGAGAGTTTTAGTGGAAATAAGGACAGAAGAATAGCTCCTGGCTTTCTAGGAGGGGTGCTGAGTGGGGTGGCCAGGTACCTTTTCAGGGCTAATTTATACAGCAAAGTTACAGTATGGGTCAAACTACCATCAACCTCTAGGGTTACGAGTACAGTCGCTTAGCTAATATTGATCCGGTAGGGGAGTGGTTCACATAGCAAGCGTACATGGAAAGAACAAAGGCATTTTGGGAAGGGATGGAGTCAGATGCCCTGGTCACCCACCTGGGCAGCTGATGCCTACTGGACTTCCTGACCAGGTGGTGCTAATCACAGCATGATTTCCTCAGGGAGGCACGTAGGCCTGGCCACCGCATCTTCATCCTGAGCCCCGGCCTTCCTCACATGCACCTCCAGCCGCAATCCTGATGTCTTCCTTTCCCACTGACTTCCTTGAGGCCCCGTCCCTCTCCGACTGTGTATTAAATTCTAGCTTAGCATCTGTAATATTACTTAGGAAGTTAGAATTAAGAGTTAGAAAATGCTGGTATGATGTGAAAGACAACTGTAAATGCAGTGGTTAAAAACAAGGCTAGGTGGGTCCAAGCGCCCTCTCCTTTACTGGGTAAGCACCCTACTCTGCCATTTCTTTTCCCCATCCTGAGGATAGGAACAGACAGAATGCGAGGTGCTAGGTAAAAAGCTGCTTGATCCCTGTTTAGAGCGTGCTTGTTTTCTTTAATCCCCTGACGTATGGACTCATCAGGTGCTGCACGTCATTGTGTAGTAATAAAAATAGACCTAGGTAGGCATGAAACAAGGAAAAATAATTTGTGGACTTTAAGAGTGACTCATTTGTTAGCAGTTTCATTTCTATCTATTTGCGTATGCTTTAGGATTTGCCAAACTGTTGCTGAAAACAAGCACGCTGGCCCTGAAGCCCTGTGTAGGCGACCTCTGTGCTGTGGAGCAGCTTCTTTGCTCCTGAGAGAACCCTTACCTCCCCAGGCTGCCCTCTCTCCTGGCCTTCTTCCCCTGCTGTAGCTAGTGTGGGAGAGTCGCACAGCGTGCTGGGGAAGCTTTTAGTCCCTCTGTTTTGTTCTGACAAGAGAACTCTGATGTCATCTTTGCATCCCCCCACCCCAGGTTTCTAAGTAACCTGGATGTAACTGCTTTGGAGAAAAGCCAGCAGATGTTAAGTAAGTTGTAGACTGACATCGCCGGCTGTGTGTGCTCTTTGTGTCTGCTTTGTATGTTGCGTGCTAGTACTGTTTCTGTCAGAGCAGCCTTGTGCTCCACAGCGAGAAGAGCCAGCCTTTTCAGGGTGCGAGGCCTTGGCTTTTGGGACAGTTAAGGAGTTGAGATCTTCCGAATGGTAGAGGGTGGGAGGGAAACACTGGGCTGGAAATGTTGATCTTCTGAGTCTGGCTTGTCTTCTCAGCTAGAAGATGAAGAAGTAGATGTATGTGATAGTGCATGTTATAGTCTCAGCTACTTGGAAGGCTGAGGCAGGAGGATCACTTGAGCTCATGTTTTTTGAGACCAGGTTAGTGAGAACCCATCTCAGAAATCAAAAACAAAGAGAAAATAAGTGATATTAGGCTGGGTTGTATCTCTGGTTCTTTCTGTCTTTAATGTGTCCTTCTTTGGTTCTATAATTCAAAACCTTGGGGGATAGAGGGCAGAAGACATGCTGTCTTTTAAAACATTGTAGAGATTTCAAAACCTTTCCAGCCTCCTTCACTTCAAGGCAGTGAAACCTGTGGGAGGATAGGTGTTAACAACAGGTTTTCTGTCCTCACAGCCTGCTCTCACCTAGAGGTGGTGATGGTTTCATCCCAGGTAGGTTTGCTGACTGGTGAAAGAAGAGAACCATGAGTCAGGTCTGGAAGCAAATGCCTGTAATCCTAGCTCTCTGGGAGGCCAAGGCAGGAGGACTGCAAATTCAAGGGCAGCTTGTGCACCTCAGTGACTTAGTGAGACCCCGTCTGAAAGTCAAATATAAAACAGGCCTGGGAGCGTACTCAGTGCGAAGACCCGTAAGTCTGGATCTTGGACCACATCCTTTACAGCATCTGGAAGGCTCTTCCTGACTGACCCTGCCTCGTCCTTTCCAGCCATGCTGGCCTTCTTCAAGGTCTGGAATGCAGAGGGCTCCTTGCTGACAGCAGGGTGGGGGTGTCTTCACACTTGCTGCTCTCTTTGCCATGCAGACTCTTCCCTCAGCATCCTTTGAAAGGGCCACTCTCCTGACCTGGCTGACAAGACCATTTGTCCTGTCTGTACCCACTCATAGTGCCATATCCTTCTCCTTTGAGCACCAGCCAGGTGATAGCACACTTATATGTGTGGTTACTTGATTAATCACTTCTTTCCCTAGTACATGTCAGCTCCATGAGCATGTAGATCTTGTCTGTTTTTGCTGTCTTTTGTATTTCTAGCGACGAACTTAGTGACAGACACATGCTAGGTACTGAGTATGTATTTGTTGAATGAATGAATGAGCCAAAGCTACCAGGATCTCTTGACTTGGGATGATGATAACAATAATAAAGGCTGCAAGAATAGCTACTGTTTGTTAAGTACTTCCTGTGTGCCAGGCACTATTTCCTGCTTTTATTCCCAACTGTATCATCACTGTTTTCAGATTCATCACTGCCCCCACTTTTTTTTTTTTGTTTGTTTGGGTTTTTTTTGGTTTTTCTCTGGTACCAGGAACCGAACTCACGACCTTGCGCTCGCCAGGCAGGCACTTTGCCGCTGAGCTAAATCCCCAGCCCCTGCCTCCACTTTTTGAGGAGTTACTCTTTTGCTGCAGCCCTCATGGCTTTTGAAGTTTGGGAGGGGTATGGCCAGAGGATGGAGAAATAAAGAGGAGAGACAGAAAGCTGAGGTCAGGTGGAGCCCTCTCTCTACTTGGGAGGAAAGGAGCTGCTCAAACACTACAGTATGTTCATTCATACATTTGGCAGGCTGCTGTCACGTGACACCCTTTTTGCCTAGCAACCCATTGCTTGGATTGTCTTGGGGTTTGGTGTTCTCTGGACTGAAGCAGCTTATTCATGTGGAGTCCCCAAGTACTATTTGTTCTCCGACTGGGCTTGCCTTACCTCCCCACATATGTGAACAATTTCCAGCTTCAGTTGCTCCCTACACTATTTGGTACCACATATTGTGTGAAGTACTGTATAATTTCACCTCGTTTTAACAGTGTACCTTCAGGAGTCATATTAGCCCATCAGGTTCTGGGTCTTTGTCTCCAACATACACCAACAGAAACTCTGCATTGGATATGTGAGTCAAACAGAAAGGAACTTGATTGAAGCTGGGTGCATCACACCTGAAAATGCTCCTGTGCTCTGAGAACAAAGGGCTGTTGGTTTATTTAGGGTCCTGTGCTGCTCTTGGGAGGAGGACTCCTGAGAAGATAGGAACAGTTCTGTTAAGGAAATTGACGCATGGAGTTTAATATTTGGCCTGTTACCTTAACAGGCATGGATCCCCATCCTTGGCAACTGTCTTTACATTTGGGAATGTTACAGAAAGATCAAAAGCTTTGTGTAGCATTTGTCACATTGTCAAATCCATGCAATACAATGTACTATGGATTCTGTCCATTATGATCGTCAGTGTTGTGGATATCTTGTCATTTACTTTGGCTACCAGGGATCTTATTTCCTGGAAGAATCGTGTGTGTGTGTGTGTGTGTGTGTGTGTGTGTGTGTGAGTGTGTGAGTGAGAATCCTCCTTTCCTCCCATGATGGCAGAGTCTGCTTGCTCTTACATAAGTAGAAAATGTCACTGTTTGTCTTCCCAGCTCTTCTTGTGGCTGGGAGGTGGGAACATGATGCACTAGTCCTGGTTTTGGAATCAGAAGCGAGTGACTTATAGAAGGTAGCAGCAGGAAGAATGCATTCTGCTGAGGGTCAAGCAAGAGAAATGGACTGGGTTTCCAGTGACAGCAGCCTTTAATTCCCGTGTCATCAGCATTGTGGTTTGCCTTGGCTTGTCTTTAGTGCTGGTCACTGGTGTTCGCTCTGAAGAGCCTGTTTAACTCACTTCTCACCCCAAAGTGAAGGGCCATCCTAGAGCCTTAGTTTCCCCCTGTAACCCTATCTGCTGCATGCTGAGGATCATCTTGCCTCCTGACACATTAGCTTTCAGTATGTGACAGCAGGTACTTTCAAATGGGAAAATGTCATGTGAGGTGAACTATTGGTATTTTCACAGCGGGCGACTTCTTACCATCCTCAGTATAAAAACACTGCTGAGTCGCTTTTAGGGTTTTGTCACCATTACAATGAGAACAGATAGTGACATTTAAGCCCAGAAAGTCCAACCGCTGACATTGACTGTCACTGTGGAAAACGTGAAGAAGCAGGTAGAACACTGTGACCTTAGGATGTGAATTCTCTAATCTGAGTGCGCTGATCAGTCAGCTGTTTGGCTTACTGATTTTTGGAGAACCAAACTCTTTTGTATGGGAAGTATGAAAACAGTAGATTTTACCCTGGATTCAGAATAAGCAGTAAGATTCAGGGTCTTACGTACTTTCCCACATATTTACAGGTACATATTTAAAATAATACTTTGTATTTTTATTGAACAGTATTAATTTATTAATGAGATGGAGAACCCAGCAACATTATTCTAAATTTTAAAACAGGTCCTAAGTGCACAGGATTATGAACTTCCCCTGCCTACAGGTGGACTTATTCTTTCCTACACTCTCATTTCTCCAGACTTTGCCTTTTGCAAAACTGCTCTTCTAGAGCTGTGTCTCTCATTTCCAATATTTTGGTGGGTAAAAATACCCTGACCTGCTAGCAAGGCTTTCTATTTTAATACAAGCTCACTGTAAGAAATGTAGATTGTCTTTGAGCAGTGTTCAATGAATTCTCCTTTTAAAAACAATAATGTGGGTAGAGTTGGCATTTGAGCGATATGGCATTGTCTCAGAACTACTTCAGTTTTTTCTTAATCTCTTCAGTCACATCTCTGAATATTTGTGGACAGTCGTTTCTCCCTCTGGATAACCCTTGTGTCCTCGGAACTCGCTTTTCTCTTTGTCCTTCACACTGCATTCTGCAGCCAGCTTTGCAGTTAAAGTCCATCACAAATTAGTTGGCTTGGATGTGTGTGTGTGTGTGTGTGTTGCCTTCAGTAAAATAAGGGAGTAATTTTTGTTCTGATAGATTTTTTTTTGGCAAAGGGTAATCTTCAGGCATTTTCTGGCACAGCTTAAGATGGTAGCATTGCTGCGTTGGTAGAATAATGTGTAGGGAACAAATAGAAACTGTGTTTTAATAATATATTTAATAGTATTTAATAATATATCATATGAATGATTTTTGAGGCAACTGAAATCCCAGAGATCTGCTTTAATCTTTAAATGCCACTGAGATTTCATACCGAAAAGGTAGTTATTAAATACTGATATGTAGTCTTTTGCTAGCAGATATTAACTCTGATATGGTATGATTAATACACATTGTCTTTCAGAAGCTTACTA